CGATTGAATTCTTTTCATGACAACAGGATAGTTATGCCATTCAATCTAACGATGAGCGTCTGTTTACAAAATAGTATGCCGATCTATGCGTTATATCCGCATTGCGAACCCGTATAGAGACGTTAGCGACAAGATGTCCCCGTTGGCACGACAAACGCACCCTCCTTGTTGACAAAAAAGAGCTGCCATCCTTCACGCTGCACAAGCGCCATTCACGAGGACCGATTTATCCGCGTTCACACTACCCAGAGCCGGTTTCAGACCTTTGTGCATTCATCCATAATAAAATATACACCTAAGACCGTAACTAGGGATTTTGCTACCTAAGGCAAAAACTGAAATATATACGTACATACATACATGTATGTGTGTATATACAATATATAGCACTTCCCACTTTTTGATATATTTTATTAAATAATAATTAAAAATAATATTATTTTTTAAATCAGTTATATTTTAATAACAACCTCTTAGAAATCTTTCAAACTTAAAGAAATTCCATTTTTTGTTGATTATTTGAGATCGACCCTATCATTCTCACCAGCGCCCTTTTGTACTCTTCTAGCGAGTGTCAACGAGGCGCGCTGGTTGCTGCAAGGGCAGCACGAATACACATACACACACACACACACATACAACACGGTGCGTGCCGGAAAGTGGGTCGACTGCCAGCGCGAGAAGAAACCTGGAGGTGGATGGACGCCGTCGAGAGAGGGAAAGTAAATTTCCGCCTCGATTGATGTCTCCGACGAGTGAATTTCGTTCCCGAAAATCCGGAGGGTTGAACAGTCCCTATTCCGCGCGTCTCCCTCTCCCTTCTTCGCTCGCTTTTCCCGTTGCCCCTCGCGCAGCGCGCCTCTTATAAGCTGTAATTCATAACTCCACGTTTGACCGCAACATCCCCCGTACGTTATTTATTCTGGGCGCAACTCGTATTTTTTCGGCCATTTTATCGGGCATCTCTCGATTTATGTCCATCGACCGCTCGGACCCTAAATACCGTGTGTGTGTGTGTGTACCCGCCGTGCCCACAAATTCATTGATATTCCGTGCAGAATTGTCGTCCGCGCCATTGCGATGTCCGCCTAATGAATTTAACCATCGTGCCGATGCCCTCTTACCAGTCGGAACCACTTTGGTTCTTCACACCCATCTTCCTCTTCTCCTTCTTCGTCTATGGCTTCTTTTTTCCCTTCTTCGTCTTTTTTTCCTCGATTCCCTTTCACCAATATATGCTTATCCGGCAAGCTCGCTGTGTGAATTCTTAAATTGACAATTCGATGCGTGATTAAATTTGATTCTTTGCGTAATTAAATCAGTTGTGTTCGTTATATTCGCTTTTAAATCTTCGATAAGAAAGACATCCGTCTATAAAAAAAAACAAAAAAAAAAAAAAAAAAAAAAAAAAAAAAAAAAAAAAAAAAAAAAAAAAAACATTTGATGCACCGAACATAAAGATGCGAAACTGACAATATCTAAATTTATGTTTCTTCAAATAAGCAAATTATAAGCGTTAAATAAGTAAATCATAATACAAAATTAATATTACATATGCTAATAATGTAAATTAGTATTTCTTATCATGCACAGAAATTGATTCTTTAATTATTAATAAAATTATGAAGCAAAGTATTTAATATTTTGATATATTACAAAGTCATAATTATTAGAAAAAAAGAAAGAAATTAACAACCATTAATTTTTATAAACTGATCACAACTATTACGTCAATGTATAACTTCGATTCACGATTGTCTCGCTCAGCTTACAACAAAACTTGAAAGCCAACAATAAATTTCCTAGAGGAAAAATTCTCTAGAGCAGACTAGCAGACTCTGTTTATACGCGGAGCAAACCAACATGTTTCACGCTGTGAAAAGAAGTCTTTCATTCAATGGATCGCGTCTTGAAAATACAATCGTTCCTGACTTCGATCCCGAGTGATTATCTCTCCGACATTTTTCGTTCAAATGCACAATGCCATCCGTTGCACAAATACCCGTCTAGAGACGAAGAAGGAAACGGGAGAATGTGTTTCGGTTTTTTTTTCTTTTTTTAGATCGCACTCTCCATATTTTTTTGCGACTGCGTTAAGGCAGGTGAAACCGGCCAAGCGTAACGGGAAATCCCCCGGTACAGCTAATAGCGATTCAGCTTCCACTGCCTCCCCCGAATCAACGAGGACGCGTAGTAGATCCTCGATGTAGGTAGGTAGATAGGTACATCACGCGCGGATGAAGCTTTTCAAAACCGTTGCACCATACGAACGGGTTTTTAATTTCGAAGTCTCGAGGCCCAAACAGACAAATGGCCGGATATTAAACGTACGCCAAACGTATGTCTAGATGGAGATAGACGAATTCGAGAGATTATCTTGATTAGATTAACACCCGAAATGCCCGGACGTCCGCGAATTAAAAAATATACGCTGACTTAAAATTGAAGCTATGCACTTTTCGGTTAAATTAGTGATCGATAAATTCTCAAAGATTTGCATCTCGTGGTAAAATGCGAATGCAAACTATATTTCTCTTGTGATTAGTTAAAAATATCTCTGATCTTTTTATTTATTTGTTGAGAGAGAAAGAAAGAGAGAGAAAGAGATAGAGAGAAATTATAATCACACATACAGTATTTTATAAATATTATATGTATAAGAGAGGATGAAATTATTCAAGAGAATAATTATTCGAAAGAATATTTAATATTTTGTATTTAATGCATTAAAAACCCTTTTAATGATTAAAGTGGCGCCTATCCATGTTAAGGCCAATCATACTTGTTATAAAGTTTTTTGACTGTGGTACACAGAAAAAATTAGCGGCAAGAAACAAATGTATATATAATCCTCACATCTAACATATTTGTATAACGCGCCCAATCTATCTAGCTCTTTTAAACAATTTCTCTCAATTTTTCGATGCTGCAGTTATAATTGGCAGTTATATTTCTCACAAAGATCGTTCTGTAGTATCGAAACTCATATTTATCCAATGCAGTGATTAACATTTGGCAATGGGACCTAAATTTTCTAGAAGATATTATTAGAATGTTGCTGCTATAAATTCTATATGTAACAGACAATGTTCTAACAGATACAAAAAATAGCGATAAATTTTTGTTGTGACACCTAGAAATCTACCTATATCAGCAAGACATTTTTTTGAGTGTAAATCTAAACTTCTTTGAATTATTTCATAGTATATATAAAGATTAATTTTAAATAAAGATCAATATAGAGACTTATTATAAAGTAGTTGCTAATTTTTTTTGAGTAATCTCTCGTACGATCGTTCACGAAGCTCTATATCAATGCGCCCTCGCTATTTTCATTGTCATCGTCGTCAAAATCATTCGCACCCTTGTAAAGATTGAACGGAGATGAGCGCGGAGATGTTCGCATTAACGTGGTTAATTTTCTGCAAACGATTTCTGCCGCGATCCATCCACCGGATCCCATATTAACGACGGACCGCATGTCCGTTGATCGTCTGACCGTTCGCGGTCTGCGATCGATGATTTGGATTTGGGCCAGGATAACGCGGAGATGCCGGGAGAGCCCTCTCACGCGGTCATGGCTTTTCGGCGGGCGGGCAGAGATTGCCGGAGCGAAATTGAGGTCGTGCCACTGGCCGTAAACCTCTGAAACACCGCCACCGGCCGCGCCATTCGGTCAATTATTCGCTTCGAATTACGGCCCTCCAATTGCGCGAGAGTTATAAGAGCAACCCGGCTGCTGCTCCCGTTCCGATATATAGTGGGCCGCAAACTCCAGTCGATTGGTAGCTCGTTTATGATAACGACTGGACGACACCCGGCAGTCATGTTTCGATCCCACCAACTTCACCCGCGAAATAACTTTATGCCTTTCTCGCGATTTTATATTATAAATTGATTATATTTGCTATATTTTCACACGCAGCAAACAAACATTTTTTGAAATCTTGTCAAGATGTATAGTTGGAAATTTATATGTTTAAAATAAAAGAAAAAGAGAAGAGGGAGCTGTCGTATATATAGATTACTATAAGAATCTTTATTTTCTCTATAAGAATCATTATTCTCTCTTCCTGTATTATTTAAAAAAATTAAATTTTAAATCAATGGGCGAATTCATAAGCTAAAGAAAATAACGCGTAAGCTAATAACGCATAAGCTAATAAAAGATAAACAAATTGACACTCATCAATATGATGTGAAGCAGTAACAAAATAAGAATCTCAAGTTTAAATAGCTATATATATAATATCATATAATATAATCTAAGATATATATTTTATATTTTTATATTTATATATATGCATGACATTACCTAATAATGTAAAACAGCACACTATCGTGTAGG